CCTGGGACCTGGGGCTCTGACATTGGTCCTCATGCCTGGACATCAAGTACTTTCCCCACAGGTCCTCCACAGCTCCCCAACCCTGTGAGTACATCTTTTAAAATCATCGTTAATGGATCATTCATTTCAAATTAAAATTATGTCCATTTTGTCAGGCCTACATCTGTCATCCTAAGACTTAGGAGGCTAAGTCAAGAAGATCCTGAGGCCAGAGCCAGCCTGATCTACAGTGGAAGACTCAATCAGAAAAAAAAAAAAATAAGGGATAAAATGTATGTGTAGACATATGTGTCTCTGGTGATGATTCCTAAGAACACTAAAATTCAAAGTCTAGCTCCTGTAATTTCCATACATGTACTCATGCATACACACACACACACACATACACACACATTCTCATATACACACTCGAATACACAATATATTCATGCACATTCACAGATAAGCACAAACATATACTCATACACACACTCACACACACACACACACACCACACCACAGAGCTCCTTGAGCTACTCTCTGGGTAGATTTGCACTCAGGACGACATTCTGCCCCCACAACCCATAGGTAAATTCTCGCAGAGGGACAGCATGATGNGTGTGTGTGTGTGTGTGTGTGAGAGAGAGAGAGAGAGAGAGAGAGAGAGAGAGAGAGAGAGAGAGAGAGAGAGAGAGAGAGAGAGCACACGTGTACCGTAGTAAGGTTATAGCGGCTGGATGACAACTTGCAGGAGCTGTTTTCTCCTTTTACCATCTGAGTCCTGGGGATTGAACTCAGGTCTTCGGGCTTGCTGGCAAACTGTTTACAACCTGAGTCATCTCTCCCACCCCGTGTTGGGCTTAGCCAGAGTTTATGCTTTGGATGCCATGCTAATGTGGTACTGACTTCCAAGACCTGTGTAGCTTGCTTTGTTAAGTAGAAAAAGAAAAACATACTACTGCATTTGTAGTTTTTATTACAGTCAAGAAATGAATTCTCATAAACGGAATTGCTTAGGCCAGCTTCTAATCAGAAAGTGGAAATTATCTGTGGTAACGTAACCACTAAAACCTGTATACTGTGAAAGCATTTCAATAATTAATGCACGCTTCATCGAGAGTAATTGACAGGAAGGTTAGAAATGTTATGGCCATCTGTATTTGATTTGTACACGAGACTGCTTAAAGGGACAGGCAGGTAACTCTTGCTTTTTGGGTCAGCATGATCTTCTTCCATCTTCTCTAAGTAATAGAACAATTTATTAGAGGTTTTTTTCTTCTCATTGCCTCTCATTCTTAGGCTACAATCCTCCCTGGAGTGTAACATATATATATATATATATGTATATTATGCACACATATACATAAACACATATATAGAAATATATGTGTGTTATATGTTATATACTTTATATGATGTGTTATATGTATTTATATATATAATATGCTTCTCTGTGTGTATGCATATAGAGATACAGTTTACAGTCTTCCCCAAATGATGAACTCTAACATCCTAAGCAATTCAAGGGTATCTTAAGGGCGATATATCTAATGATGTATGAGAGAAATTCCCTCCCGTGTTGTGAATTTATTTGTTCTACTCAGTCCCACCACTTTGAAGATTTATTCTGGCAGTTTTTCCTCTTCTGTGAGTCAGTCTACCTTGCTTGTGTTTGCTAACAAACACCAATAATAGCACTAGGATCTTAATGAGATTGTTATAATTGTACCTATTTGGTTGTGAAATAGAATATTCATATTTATAGATATAACATGGTCATGAGAATACTGAAGGATATCCAAGACGTTCTGAGCACTAAAACCTAAAGGGCATTACATAGTTGTCTAGAACACAGTCCTCACTTAGACCAAAAAACTCATCTAAAAACGCCTTCATCCAGAATCCACTGAGCATTTATCATTGATTAGAATACTAAAAACCGCCTATGTCCCTGGTGGCCTGACTCTTGCAGTCTAATAAGGAAAGCCTCCTCCTAGGCATCTTATACACAACACAAGCCTTACAAAATATAAAACTGAATGGCTGTACAGGGGTCGCACATGACCTCCTCCCCCACCTATATCTCTTGGACTTCCTGTTTTAGGAAAGTGTGCCGCTGTCGATCCAGTCATCAAGGCGCGGACCTAGAGTTAGCCAAGCTGATTCCTGTCCTCCTTCCTCTTCATCACAGCCATTCCTACGCTCTGCAGTGCTAAGTGCTTACTACTGACCGGCTCTGCTTTCCTTCCTTCACCCCTATGGATGACAGCCTATTTCCTAGTCATTTCAGGGAAGGAAGCTGGAACATTGGACAGTACAGACCATCATTTCTTTACTAGATACATGCTGTAGACTGTTCCCAGAACGATTCTTTAACCATCAAAGTGCCACTAAGATGGTCCCAGTTCTTTGTAGACATTCTCCCTGTGATATTGCAGTAACTGCCTTGCAGGCAAAACTTCCATCATGCTATACAAGGTAGAGCTTTGCTAGTATGGGCTGAGCCTGGCATTGCAATGACAATTCTTGCCGTGTAGCCCACTCTCGAGTTACATGAACCTAGAAATGGCATCTACCCATGCCCAGTAACCAGCATTTTTCACTTCCCATATCATTAAACGTATCTTTATTGCCAGACCTACTTAGATTTATGTGATTGAACACAAAGCTGCTATGTGTCAAGATGACTTGTGGCATGCTAAAAGCAAGTTCACACACTGTATTTTGATTTTAAATCCAGCATGTTTATAGCTGAGAATAACATATTAATACATAAGCTATATAAATATTTTAAATGTTGGGCGATAGGCCTTTGCAAACAAGTCAGCTCAGTGTTTATGAGAGATGGATAAAAGATTTTTTGAATGGTGAGGTGCATATTTTACAAGATTTGGTATAAGAAATAAATGTTGGCTTTGGAGATGGGTGGATAGATATTTTAAGGTCAACCATTTGGTTGGGCCTGGTCCTGATCTCCAAGGCCTGAGGTGATGCGAAGGCGGGAGTGTCTGGCAACAGCCTTGGAACACTGTGTGCCGGAGGAGGGTTGGTACCCAGTAAGGTGGCTGGAAGAGACAATGATACAGTGACAGAGAACAGGAAGAGGGTAAATAGAGGTACTAAGAAGGGCAAACATGTTAGATGTGCCAAGATGACTGTGCCTGAGAAATGGAAGAATGTTTCCTGATGGAACAAGCAGAGAAAAAAATGTCACACAGTGCCACAATACACGGGAACACATAAAGACGAAGCTGAAGTTGAAGAGGATAGTAATAGCACCTAACCCATGGCATTCACAAGAATAATGCTTAACTCCAGACCACAGATGCATAGCATTAACGATAAGGCAAGAAGGAGCTTCTAAGCACCTTCATGTATTAAGCATTTGGTCTTAACTATGCTCCACCTGACCTACCTCTTATGGCTATACAAATGTGTTATATAAATGTTTCTTAATATACATCCTCTTTTAAATAATAAAATAGCAATTAATAATAAAAGTAACCAAAATTATAGCTCTTAATAATAGCCCCAGAGCATGCTTGAGGCCCCACAGTTTGTCAGAGGAGAACTGGGGTTAGAGCTTGGTTATCTGGCACTCAAACTCCCTCTGAGAGAGCTGTTGTCAAGATGGAAAGGGATGGAGCCGAGGCTCCTCCTGTCTGGATTGTACCTGTAAAGGCATGTCCTAGAGTTGGCAAATGCCTCTCAGAGCAGAAGAGTTCTGATCAAGGACACTAGAGAACCAGATTGAGGCTGTGTCACCGTCTGACCATTACTGCCCCCAATACATGGAAGTCACCTCTTTAGCCCTCTCTGCTCTGACTGGATGGGGAAGTCAATTTCCAAAGCGGTTGGGTGTAATGTTTCTTAGCAAAGGAAGAACATTTAAAAACCGAGCCAGTGGAAATGGAATTACTGTGGAAAGATTTAAAATAAATTTTAGCTGGGCAGTGGTGGTGTATAATGTTAATTTCAGCAATTGGGAATCAAAGGCAGGAGGATCTCTCTGAGTTCGAGGCCAGCCTGGTCTACAAAGCGAGTTCTAGGCCATCCAAGGCTGTTACACAGAGAAGCCCTGTCTTGAAACATAGATAGATAGATAGATAGATAGATAGATAGATAGATAGATAGATAGATACAAAGGGGTTAAGATTCAGAAGTGAGGTCTTACTTCCTTGACATTTTTCCGGGTTCCTTCCTTTTCCCTCTTTCCTTTCTTCTGCTTTGCTGTGAGTTCTTTATATCTTTGAAATACCAAGAATACTTGTGAATAGATGAGAAGATGAAAAGATGCCAAACATACAAAACTATATATTTTAGGAGAGGAAGTTTGTTTCCTAATTTTCTGAGAAATTGCCATACTGATAGCCAAAGGGGCTGTACTAATTTGCACTCACACCAGCAATGCAGGAGTGTTCCCTTTATCCCACAACCTCTCCAGCACAAGTTGTCATCAGTGTTTTTGATCTTGGCCATTCTTAGAGGTGTAAGATGGAATCTCAAAGTTGTTTAGATTTGAATTTCTCTGATGACTAAGGATGTTGAACATTTCCTTAGGTATCTTTCAGCCATTCTAAAATTCCTCTGTTGAGAGTCCTCTGTTAGGTCTGTACACCATTTTTTAAAATGTGTTATTTGTTCTTTTGATGACCAGTTTCTTGAGTTCTTTATATATTTTGGAGATCAGACAGCTGTCTGATATGGGGTTGGTGAAGATATTTTCCCATTCTGTAGGCTGTTGTTTTGTCTTGTTGACCCTGTCCTTTGCTTTACAGAAGCTTTTCAGGTTCAGGAGGTTCCATTTATTAATTGTTTCTCTCAGTGTCTGCATCACAACCTCTTTAATGTGATTCTGTCACCAAAGGCAATGACAAATGGCTTGTCATTGAGGTAGAGCACACAGAAGAGATGGAGAGGTGAAAGAAAAGATAATAGGTGTTCTCAATGTTGTACCATTAAAACATCATGAATATCTTTGGGTCCTTAAATCACAATTTCTAAATTAATATATTCATCAGGTGAATCAGAAGAAAAGATGTAATTCACGCCGGCAAATGGTTTAGAGATCCAGAAGAAGAAATAAATGGAAATACGTCATACCGCGACCACCAAGACCCAGGAGCAGAAGGTGAGTGGTTGGGAGGAAATTTAACAAGCCCACAATAGGCTCAGAGGAAAAGAGGAGAAGCAGCAGAAGCAGTCACCAAAGCCTAAGTGGAAGCCCAGATCTCTGAACTAAGGGATGTTAACTTTTTGGAAACAAGAGTTGAGTCAGAGACAAGATTATTCTCTCCAGGAGAATAAATAAAAGAATGAAAGAATGGAAAGGAACTTGAGTCAATAACAAAACAAATAACCCATAGGAAGCAACAATAGAAAAATATAAAAGGAAAAAAAATAAAGTATAGGTTGGAGAAATGGAATAGACCAGTCATTATATATAATGTGAATGGATATAACTCTCTATGAAATATCACATCAGACTGAAAACAGAATTTATCATATGCATTAGATTCCTAGCTACAACAGGTAAAATACTATGAAGAAAGGTTGGACAGAGGTAGCCCAGAGGATTGCATATGAGAACAAAAATCAAAGCAAAAAAAAAATTCAAATTTGAAAGAATCTCAAGACAGATTTCAATTCTTTTAAAATGTCCACAAAAGATGCTGTGTAATGGAAAGTGTCATAGCTCATTAAGGAAGAATACTGAACAATATAGCAGCCCAATATGAAAAATTAAATTGCAAGAACTGTGATAACAGACAATAGTTAGGTTGGGATTGTTTTGTCGATCATTTTTCAGAACTAAGAAAACTAAGAATTAAGGACAGATGAAGGAAGATGCAGTGAATTTGAGCCCGATGATCAATTGTGCAAACTGCACACAAGACAACACATACAAACATGTGAGTACACATTCCTACACAGAACATTTAGAATCTCACCTTGGGCTCAAAAAGCATTTGTACAAGTTAACAGGTAGCTTGAACCTGATCATGCCATGTGTGTACGCCACAGTATCTGAGTTCATATGTGAATCATTCCTGTTGTATCTAGAAGAAACAGTATCTCCTTGAAGTCTTCTACTACCTGTGGCTCTTATAATCTTTCCATTGTCTCTTAGATCTCTGAGCCTTAAGTGGAGGAGTTTGATGAAGACATCCTATGTAGGACTGAGTACTCCAATGTCTCACACTCTCTCAGTATTGTTCAGTTGTAGGTCTCTGTGTTAATCCCCAGGAAGCTTCTGCAAGAAGAAGCTTCTCTTATGTGGGCTGAGTAAGGCATTGATCTACAGGTATAGAAAAATGTCATTAGGAGCTATTTAATTGCTATGTTCTTTAGCAGAATAATAGTATTGGGTTTTCCTCTAGGCCCATGAGCTATCTAGTCTCAGGTTCTTGGCCACCCAAGCAGTGTCAGGGATGGGTTCCACATCATGGGGTGGGTCTTAAATCTAGTCAGAAAGTGGTTGGTTACCTCTATAACATTCGTGCCACTATTACACCAGTTTATCTTGCTGGCAGGCCACTGTTATAGGTTGCAGGATTTGTAACTGTGAGATATTGGTGATTATCTTTCTCCTCTGGTATCATACTGATTACCTTTTAGTACTATAAATGTTAGTCGGTAGGGAGGAAGCTTCTAGTTAGGCACCAGTTCAATTTCTCTACTAACAACACACATTTTTTAAATTTTTTTCAAGACAGGGTTTCTCTGTGGACCAGTCCTAGTTGTCCTGGAACTCACTTTGTAAACCAGGCTGGTCTTGAACTCACAGATATCAGCCTGCCTCTGCCTCCTGAGTATTGGGGTTAAAGGCATGTGCCATCACCACCCGGCTAACAACACACTTTTAAGGACAGGTTCTGTAATTAAGCAATAAATGACCATATTATCAAACTAAACCATCAATATATGTAACATGTAAGATTGTAACAGGAATAGTAGATATAGTTTATTACTGCTGAGCATGAGTATATTCTAATCACTACAGTTGTAATAGCTTAGCTAATCCTAATGTGTGCAAGCAATGGGCAAGGGTTCTAACCAGTTATAATATGGGTGATGGTGGTTAGTGGGCGCTGAAACTCAAGTTTCTGGTGGCTTGGATATTGCAGTAGTTGGAAAGAGGCAAGGGTAGACATGGAGCAAGGGGATGAGATAATCTAGCATTAGGCCAAGACAGTAGTCCCTTCTACTTTTTGATCAAAGGCTTGATTTTTCTGCTTTTTAGAATGTTTTTGTTCAAACATGTTTTGAGAATTTCATTCAACGGATTTTGAATATATTTGTGTTTCAGTTCCTCTAAACTGATCCACTCCTGCTTCCATACCCACACTGCAAAACACACACACACACACACACACACGCACGCACGCACGCACGCACGCACACACACACACACACACAAAATTCCAACACTGAGTTCAATTTTTTCTGCCTATATATTCTTCCACATATGTCCATCCACAGGAGCATCATTGCCCTACTAGAAAGCACACCTTTAAAGAAAACCCACTCTCCCTTTCCTAGATTTCAGTTGCCAACAACTCCTCAGATAGAGGTGAGATGGTGTGCTTACCTCTCTTCTTCATTCTGGGCTTTGGTATGTGCATGCTGACAAATGGCTGGGGAATATTCTTTACAAATGTTTACCCTTATATTTCTTCACTTTGTAGGATGCAACCGAAGCAAGGAGCATTTAGTAAGACGCAATTGGCAGGACCTTCACTAGGTGCCGTGAGTACCATGCAATTTAAGGGTTTTTGATCAGGGAGTTAATATAGGGACACACATTTGAATATCTGTCTATAGAATGTCTTCCCTTCCATCACTGACCAAAGAGTAGAAACCAACATTTTTAAAGGGAATTTTGTAAGCTCACTTAGAGAACCTTGTTGTTTAAATTGGTTGCAAATATCCACTTCAGACAAGACAACTTGGCAATTTTAAGCCACTTCATGAGCCTACAGCTGCAGACATTGCTTCAACAGTCATTAGATTGGTTGTACTGTGGTGATTGCAGAGGCACACGCACAGTGGCTGGGAAGCTATCTGTGACCCCTGATTTTTTTAGCTGTCTTAGCTGGACCCTTGTCTGCTGGGTGTTCCATCTCTGAGTGAAGTGTCTTCTCATCTCACCCACACGGACATTTTTTTTTCCAAGTCAGCACAGCTCTAATTGAGTCCCTGGAATCCTACGGGAAGTAGGACACAGGACATGGTATCAGAACAGGGAGGAGCCCTTTGGCTAGGCTTTGTCACAAATAGTCTTCTTCCCTTGCCCAAGGATGCTTCCTGCTTCCTCTGTGGCTGGCACAGCCTGAGACTCACTTTTGAGGATTTCACTTTGGTTTACCTTGAGAGAGTGGTTTCTCCAGTCCACGTCTGGAGCCTCCAGAACTGGACACCTTTTTCTAATCAGGAGAGTCGTCTGTGACGACAAGCGAGCAGCAGTGCAGGGTTCTGTCTAAAAGATTCCGCGAAGGAAATTTAAACAAAGCAAATCAGGGCCACCTCAGATGCAGGACTCTGTTACTTAACAAGTCGGAATGATCGCTATTAGGTCAGTGACTGTAAGTCTATCCTATAAACACAGATTACAAGATTTAAACAGGAGCTTTGCCTCACACTAGAGTGATGTCAGCAGCCAGGGTGGGAGCTGCCCTGCCATTTCTGTTTCATCATTTAAAGAGACAGTATCCAGCCTTCGAGCCTACATCTATCACATGGACATATTGATTTCCTTTCTAGAGAAACACATATTTCTTCCCTCACGCTGGAAAGATAAATCTGACAGCTTTTAATCAAACGTAGTTACTCAGAATTGTAGCAGTGTGCAGGGCACCACACGTGAAACAAAACATAGCCGCTTCTAAAGGAGGAGTTTTGTGGATGGATTATTTGTAGACAATGATTGTATTAGCACACATGTCTAAAAACACTTGTATACACACAGAGGCAGTAGTAAAACCAGTTTAACACTATTATTCTTATACTGTGATCAACAAATGTGGGCTTAATTAGCGTTTCAGCTGTATCTGGGCTCTGGGGCTGGGACTATGGCTCAGTTTGCAGGGTGCTAGCTGAGCATGCTCGCATCCCTAGTTCAGTCTCCAGGACCTCTTAAAACCAGTGTGCCTGTACATGCCTGTAATTCCAATACTCATGAGGCAGAAGCGGGAGATTAGAAGACCCCAGTTATCCTACCAACTAAGCTCCAAGGCCCAGGATATAGGAACCCCTCTCTAAATCAAAGCAAAATACCTAAGCGACGCCACACTGCTTCCAGCTTCTCTGTGAGCCTGTGAGCATGTGTGTTGGGGTCTTTAAAGAGGAAGTCTCTCCCAAGATGTCACCTGGCTTCCAGGGGAATGCCACAAAACAGTGACACTGGATTTTGAAGCGCCACTGTGGTGTCTCTCCTTCAGCCAGCTCTTCTCTCTTTGCACTGCGTTCTGTTCAGCCCTCAGCTGTGCTCTAACCATGTCTGCTCGGGAGCATTTGCATTCCTTCTCTCAGCAGCTCTGAGTGGCTCTTGCTGTTGCTTTCAACACATCTGAGGGGAGCTGAGATAGTTTTCTTCTGAGCGTAGAGGGGCATTTACGCTGATGATATTAAGACGATATTCAAGAATCAGTGGGAAACAGAGAGACTCAAAACCAACAAGGCTTGGTGCTTTTGCCTCTTGCATTGATTAGTTTGGCTCCCATCATTATTGGTGGCTTGCGGGTTGGTTTTAAATGGTAACTTTAGATATATCTAAGTCCTCTTTCCTCCGAAGTATAAAAAAAATGATTGCATTTCCAATGATGGAATTCAAATAATGAAATTTCTCATTCTGGATGCATCATGTTCACATCCACTAGCCATCTCCCGCCTTAGGACAAGTATCTTATGCCAGCTAATTATTTTAGGTAAAATTAAAAAAAAAAAACAGAATCTATACCATAAATTGGAGCATAGCAAAGCCACCTAAAGCCTTGTATAAGCATGTCATCATTTAAGAAGTTTGTTAATTCACATTTGATTCCCATAATTTTGATAATATATTGATATGTGATTTAAGGAGAATCACGTATTGAGAAGAAACCTGTTAAGGAAAGGGTACGGCCTACAGAGTGACATGCTGTGCAGGAGCAGAAAGAATTAGTTTCTTTGGGCAAAACCAGCAAATGATTTTCCTTTTGAGACGGGAGCTTTAGAAGTCTAACCACAGTATGTGGACATTGTAGTTTCTAAGTCTCTAAAACTTACAAGTGTGTGTGTGTGTGTGTGTGTGTGTGCGCGCGCGCGCGTGCGTGCGCGCGTGCGCGCGTGATTATATCCTGTCTGTCAATTCTCCTGCAAGGAGTTCCTGAGGTTCTACCAACACCTGGCGAGAGCACACAGACTCAACATGTGTCCCATGTTCCATCTAGAGGGTCCTTCTGAGGGGTGCAAGTAAGAGTGAAAGTGTGGAGGTAGCATGGCTGGTCGGAGGTGTCTCGCCAGAATGTATGTGTATGTATGTAAATGTATATATGTATATATACATATATATATATATGTATATATATACATAAATGAGAGGCTGACATTGAATTTTAAGAGAAATAGATAGTAGATGAAGGGCTTAAAGTAAAAGGTAAGAGAAGAAGTCCACAAAATGGGTCGACTCATTCCTTTAGATAATATGATGCCATCTTTAACCTCCAGCCATGGCCTCAGTGACTAAACATTTGTCCCAATTCCTGCCCAGCTGGTAGTGTTTGAAATTTTAGCCCCAAGTGAAAGGCCATTCTGACCCAGAAAACATGTGATTCCTTCCTGAGAGAGAGCTTGTGATTCTCTAAACCATGATTTTCAGTGTTCCCATGTTCCCCTCCACAGTTGCCAAGTAAAGCCTTTCTCACACAGCTCCAGCTATACTACAGACACTTTATCCATCCAATAATTAATAATTTACAGATATTCACTACAATTCCAGCTCCATCGTCTATCTTAAAGAAGAGGAAATTGTCAAAATTTTTCTTTTGGGGACTGGTTTTCCACTCAGGGGTTAATCCTTGGAACTTCCTCAAAGGTTGTCGTAGCTTCCTTCAATGTAATCCAAAACGTGACATCTCCTTAAGCCCTCACTAACATTGAGACATGAAAGCCCTGGAGCTGGTCCTTAGCTTGGCCTCAACTAGATGTTTGACCTTAGAGATGTTACTACCACATTTAAGCTTGAACTTTCTTTAAATTAAATATATATATTGTTGTGTGTGTGCATGCATGTGTTTGTGTGTATGCGTGTGTGTGTGCGCGTGTGTGTGTGTGTTTGTACCACAAAGTGTAAATGTGGAGGTGAGTGGAAAACTTTCAGGAGTCAATGTCTCCTTCCGCCATGTGGGTCCTGGGTCTTCAAGCACCACTACAAGATCCTTTACCTGCTGAGCTATGTCACTAACCCATGCCTGAGCTTTCTCAGGACAATAGCAATGCTGGTTGCAAAATGGTGTGCACTGATGTGCACACCAACAACAGGGTTGGGGGTGTGGGGGATGGCTGGGTGGGTAATAGCATTCTCACACAGTTCTGTTGCCCTGGTCTTGGGTTGCCATAGCCCCAGTAGCAGCTCGACACAGTGGTGCAATCTTCTGCAAGGCCATTGCACGAGACACAGAATCTGCAGAAAATCCCATTCCTTCAATGAGCAGAAAGGTGAGGGACTACCAGCCTCTGAAGCTTGATGTCTGAGCTCTGTGTGCACGCTTGCACCTTCCCACACTAACACACAGGGCACATGACAAATACAAAGCATGCATGTAGACATGTAATAGGAAGCTGAATAATGACGTAACTGTGAACCTTAGATTTTGTCCTTGTGTCTGTCTCTCTTTCTTCCTTTGCATTCTGCTCGTTTTGCCAGGAGTCTCCAGATACAAACATTTGCCAGATTCTTGTGCCCCTTCCTTGCTTTCCTACCTAGCACACACCCTCTTTGTCGTATTATGGATTATTTTGAATTTTGAGCCTGAGAACTTGAAGAAATGACGTCCGTGAAGCAGAGTGACTTCTAGGACAGAGGAAGCCCCTCCTAGGTGTTCAGTATCCTAAACTTCTACTCTGAGAGAGCAAACGACATCCATTCCTGTCCAAAGCACCCACCTTTCCCCAAGATTAGTTATTTCGCTGGCTCACTACACGGCTAGTAATTCAGGGATAATCATGTTACCAAGATGCCATTTAATCTCTGTTTGGCATATCTCGAGTTTTCATCTTCATTAATAGAGCCATCAAAGTTTCATTGGTTCTGACTGGTGCAGGACAGACCAGTGATTCCTGGGGTGGGGGCTGCAGCTTTCATGGGGAGCCTCTGGTTGCCAGATGGCAGGTGCTAATCTGCTTGCTGCAGGGATGGGGGGGTTAAGCTTGCCTGGCCCCCAGCCAATGGGGCTTGTGCTCCCCTCTGATTAATACAACGGCCTTGGGGCTGGTATCTGCTCTCTGATGCCTACATAAAGACTCTGGAGGAATGGATGCCTGGGGAATGGAAGGAATTGCTTTCTGGTCTCCCTATGAAAAGGATCCTTAATGGTGTCCTTGATGCCCCTGCTCTAGGCCATTAGAGAATAAGATCCTGTGAATGGGTAGCAGGATACAGGGCAGGGAGGCCAGCCTGGGAATCGGGGAAACATGGCCCTGAACTCTGACTCCACCAGTTAACTACTGTGTTAATTTGTTCTCTCTTTCTATAATGACATTCCTGAGGC